AACTGCTGCTTCAGCTGCTGCTGCAGCTGCTGCTGCTGCTGCTGCAGCTGCTGCCTCCCGGGGGCCCCCAGCAGCAGCCGCAGCTGCTGCAGCAGCTGCTGCAGCAGCTGCTGCAGGGCCCCCCACTGTCTTCTAATAGAACTTGAAGAAGACAAGTTTTGCTGCTGCCGCTGCAGCTCCCGCAGCCACAGCTGCTGCAGCTGCTGCTGCTGCCGCCGCATGCCCACAAAGTGGGGGGAACTTCTCAGGGCCATTGCCGACAGCAGCCGACGCATTGTGCTGCTGCTGCTGCTGCTGCTGCTGCTGCTGCTGCTGCTGTGGCTGCTGCTGTTGCTGCTGCTGCTCGCAGCAGCTCGGCTCCTTTCGGAGCTTCTCCCGGTTGAGCTGCTGGTCTTACTGCTCCCGGTGCTGCCGCTGCTGCTGCCGCTGCTGCTTCCGCTGCTGCTGCTGCCGCTGCTGCCGCTGCTGCTGCTGCTGCTGCTGCTGCTGTATCTCACTGCGTCAGCCCAAACATGCTCCCTATATGAGCTGGCTTTGCTGCTGCACTGCAGCAGCGGCCAAAGAGGCTGCTGCAGCCCCCCGAAGAGCTGCCAGCGCCTGCTGCAGCACCCCAGTAGCTGCTGCTGCTGAAGCTGCTGCTGCTGCTGCTGCTGCAGCTGCTGCTGCTGCTGCTGCTGCAGCTTTGGCGGAAGCTGCTGCTGCACCCATTGTCCGTGCTGCGAGACGAGGCGACACCTAAAGCAAACGGCCGCAAAAGAGTCTCTCCGGTGTGCAGCTGCATGCAAATCACCTGTCAGCTGCTGCTGCTGCTGCTGCTGCAGCTGCTGCTGCTGCTGCTGCTGCAGCTGGGCGTTCGCTGCAGCTGCTGCGTGTGCGCTGAGGCGCTGCAGCGAAGCAGCAGCAAAGCTCTTGAGGGGGCTCAGCCGCTGCTGGGGCGGAAGAAGAAAGAGAGCCATTTGAAATCATTGGGGCTGAAGAACAGGAGCGCTGCTGCTGCTGCTGCTGCGCTGCTGCTGCTGCTGCTGCGCTGCTGCTGCTGCTGCTGCTGCGCTGCTGCTGCTGCTGCTGCGCTGCTGCTGCTGCTGCGCTGCTGCTGATGATGATGCTGCGCTGCTGCTGCTGCTGCTGCTGCGCTGCTGCTGCTGCTGCTGCGCTGCTGCTGCTGCTGCTGCGCTGCGGCTGCTGCTGCTGCTGCGCTGCGGCTGCTGCTGCTGCTGCGCTGCTGCTGCTGCTGCGCTGCTGCTGCTGCTGCGCTGCTGCTGCTGCTGCGCTGCTGCTGTTGCGCTGCTGCTGCTGCTGCTGCTGTAGCAGCAGCTGTCGACGGGCACAGAGCCCACTAGCTGCGGCAAGCGAGTCAAGTAGCTGCTACATGGGGGCTGCTGCGCATGCATGCGCTAGCTGCTGCTGAAAACCCTGTTTTAGGGTTTGTTCAGCGGGCGAGTCAGCAGCAGCAGCAGCAGCAGCACATGGCAGCTTTTGCTGCAGCTGCGAAGAAGACTCGAAGCCCCTTCGGCAGCAGCAGCGTGTGCGAGGCTGCTGGAGATCGCAGCAGCAGTGTGCAGCAGCAGCAGCAGCAGCAGCAGCGGGTGTTGCAGCAGGAGGTAATTGCGGTTGCGTCCAGGGCTCTTGGCGGTGAAGAGGCTTATCAACGAAGTTGAAAGAGCTGCTGCTGCTGCTGCTGCTGCTGCTGCTGCTGCTGGGCGCGAAGGCTCGCTGCGGCCGCCGAAGCCCCAGCGGTGCGGCAGCGCAGTGCGCACTTAGCAGCCCTGCCGTTGAGTTTCGGGCAGCAGCAGCAAAAGGCGCAGCAACTGGCCACATCTTTGCTGCGTCTGCAGTTCAAACTGTCTGCAAGTTGATTCCTTTTGCAAATTGCTTCTCACCGGCCTTCAAACGAACGAAAATGCTGGCCAGCAAGGTTGGAATCGAGCAGGTGGCGGACCAGGTGAGCGGGGTGTACGTACACCTCACTTCTCCCAACTCTCTTTCCTTCTCTCTTTCTCCCTTTCTGCACTTTCCGAAATACACACATCGCGCTGCTGCTGCTGCTGCTGCTGCTGCTGCCGCGCCCGCGGCGCGTTGGACCAGTTCAGCTTTCGACGCCCGTGGGGCCTTTCTGTCTCGTTTCTGTTTGCTTTTGTCTTGATTTATTCCCTTTTAAATTTGCTTCTTAATTAACTCTTTCTTTCCGGGAATTGGATTCTTTTTCCCGGAGAAAGCGCGGGTTCCGCAGCAGTTCGTGTGCACGGATTCTGTTCCCCACTGGCGCCGCCGGTGGCCTCCGGCGGCGCGTCTTCTCGAATTCTTTTCTTTTTTCCCTTTTTATTTCTTTTATTTATCTTTCTTTTTATTTCTTTAATTCAAAATGCCGCATTTCGATTTAATGCCACTTCAAATGGAGTTCCGTTGCCGCGCGTTCCCGAGTGCCGCGCGCTCGCGCTGCCGCCTCGCCGGCTGTCTGCAAGCCCGCAGCAGCAGCAGCAGCAGCAGCAGCAGCAGCAGCTGCTGCTGCTGCTGCAGTTGCGTCTGCAGCAGTGTCTGCCGCGCGTCCTTTGCCCCCCCTGCATCCCTGCCTTTTCCCCGTGTTCCCGCTGCTGCTGCTGCTGCTGCTGCTGCTGCTGCTGCTGCTGCTGCTTGTTTGCTGCTGCGTGGGCGGGCGACTGGGGGCTCGTTTTGCTGCTGCTGCTGCGCAGCTGAAGGGGAAGCGGGTGCTGATGCGCGTGGACTTCAACGTGCCGCTGAAAGACGGCAAAGTCGCGGACTCGACGCGAATTGCTGCAACAATTCCGACAATAAAGTTCGCGCTGCAGCACGGGGCGCGGGCGGTGCTGCTGCTGTCGCACTGCGGGCGGCCGGACGGCCGCGTGCAGCAGCAGTTCAGCCTGCGGCCGGTGCTGCCGGTGCTGCAGCAGCTGCTGCAGCAGCAGCAGCTCAGCAGCAAAGTCTCCTTCGTCGAGGACTGCGTGGGGCCCCAGGCCGAAGCAGCAGCAGCAAATGCGCAAAACGGAGAAGTGCTGCTGCTCGAAAACCTCCGCTTTCACCTCGAAGAAGAAGGAAAGGGCGAAGACGCAAACGGCAATAAAGTCAAAGCCGACAGCAAACAAGTCGAGGCCTTCCGCAACAGCCTCACCAAGTCTGCTGCTGCTGCTGCTGCTGCTGCTGCTGCTGCTGCTGCTGCTGCTGCTGCTGCTGCTGCTGCTGCTGCTGACTTCTGCTTTGCTGCTGCTGCTGCTGCTGCTGCTGCTGCTGCTGCTGGTAGGGTGGACTTGATGATAATAGGGGGCGGAATGGCCTTCACTTTCAAGAAAGTGCTGGAGAACATGCAGATCGGAAACTCCCTTTTCGACGAAGACGGAGCCAAAATAGTCCCTGAAATCATGCAGGAGGCGAAGGCCAAAAACGTCGAAGTCCTTTTGCCCGTCGACTTCGTCTGCGGCGACAAATTCGCCCCCGACGCCAACACCCAACTCTGCGAAGACAAGGCCGGAGTGCCTGCGGGCTGGATGGGGCTCGACGTGGGGCCCAAGACCATCGAACTCGCCAAGGCTGTGAGCCAAATGCTGCTGCTGCTGCTGCTGCTGTTGTTGCTGCTGCTGTTGTTGTTGCTGTTGCTGCTGCTGTTGCTGCTGCTGCGGCGGGGTTCCTGTGCAAGTTGAACGGGTGCGGAAGCTGAACGGGGGTCGTTTGGGGGCGCGTGGAGGTCTAAACGCGTTTTTTTTCGTTTATTTTGATTAAATAATTCTTTTTAATGTTTAAAATGTTTATTTGAGGCCAATTGAGGCGAAGAGGCGTGAGTTTCCCTTCAGATGATCGGCCGCGCGAAGACGATCGTGTGGAACGGCCCGCCGGGAGTCTTCGAAATGCCCGCGTTTGCCAAAGGCTCCACCGCCTTCGCAGAGGCCGTTGCTGCAGCAACAGCAGCAGGAGCGACTTCAATAGTGGGGGGCGGCGACACGGCCTCTTTGGTGGAGAAGTGCGGCATGGCTGCCAAGATGAGCCACGTTTCCACGGGCGGGGGGGCCTCTCTGGAGCTCCTGGAGGGCAAGGAGCTCCCCGGAGTGGCAGCTTTGTCTTCAAAGTGAAGAAAAACAAAAAAGCTTTCGATTTCGGGCCGCTTTCCCGCGGCCACCGCAGCCGCGCACTGCAGCAGCAGCTGCTTTTCAAGTTCCACAATGACACCCTTTTGAACAGAAACGCCTTTTAAAGCTAAGATCGCCGTCAAACTGCGCAATAAGTTCGTTTAGTTTAGTGGAAATAACTTCAATTAGTTAATCGGGAGTAAATTCAACTAGCTGAGTGGCTACAAGTCCAGTTGTTTCAGTCAAAACGGCGAAGACAGCGGGCACTGACACGCAGCCGTTGCGCCTCCCCGGCCCACTATATTGTGCGGAACTCTAAATATTTTACTTTATTTGTTGTCTTCTTTGATTGCGGAAAGTTTTTGCATTTTTGTAAATAGTTTTCCGCAAATGAGGCGGGAAGTGCTGCGGGTCTGCGCAGAAGCTGCACAGGCAGTCCAGCGACGCCGAGCACAAGTGGCCGCTGGATATCGCGCTAAGTCATTTGAAGCTGCTTTAAACAGCCATTAGAAAGTTTAAAAAGCTCGCGTGCTGTTTGCTGTTTGCAAATGCGTGCAAATGGAATTGATGCTGCAGCCAAGAAGATTGCGTGTTTCGCTGTGGTCGCGTGGCCGTGGGGAGGGCTGCATGAGCAGTGCAGAGAGGCAGTGTAGGGCCGTTTTGAAAGTGATCTGCGGCATTATTGAATTAAAAACTGCAAATAATTGAACTTTGGAGCGAAAAAACGGAAGATCAGCGGCGGATTTCGCAGAATCGGGGGCGGAGAGGCTGCTGCTGGCTGCGCCGCAGCCCCACGTCGGCCAGGCGCGTGTGGGGGGGGCAGGAGGAGTTCAGCTTATTTTTTGAGGACTTGGGAGGGTTTGAAGCGGCTTTTTTTGTTTAGCAGCGGAAATGGCGAACAAGAAGGCGGAAGAGCCGGAGCAGATTTCCTCTTCGTCTTCGGACAGCGGCTCCGAAGATGAACAGAAAGCCGAGGGCGCCCAGCAGGAACCCAAGGAGGGCGAGGGCTCTCCTTCGCGCTCGCGGCAGTCTCGCAACGAAAGAAAAGCCAGAAAAGCCATTTTGCGCTTGGGAATGAAGCCCATGCCCGACATAGTCAAGGTGGTCATCCGCAAGGCCAAGCAGGTGCGCCGCCGGCGGAAACCTCCCCGATCTCCCCCCCAAATCCCTTTCTTTCTTCTTTTTTTCTCCACTTTGCCTTTTAATTCATCCCAAAGACTCCAAAAAAGTCTTTTTTGACTCTGTTTCCCGCTGGAAAGCGCCCCGCCGGCGGCTCCTGGCTGCGGCGGTTCAGCCCGCGTCGCGGGCGAATGCAAGTTCTGAGTGTCTGCAGTGTGTCGTTTGGGAGTTTCGGAGTTTGCATTTCATTTATTTTCGTCTTTTACTTCTTTTTTATTTCTTTTTTATTTCTTTTTTTCCTTTTTTGTCCAACTTTTGCGCATTTTCAGTCCTGGTTCGTCATCGCCGAGCCCGACGTCTACAAGAGCACTTCCACTGACGCCTACGTCGTCTTCGGCCATGCAGAAGGCGTGGCTACTCAGGCGCACTGTGAGCTCACCTTGCTGCTGCTGCTGCTGCTGCTGCGTGTTGCTGCTGCTGCTGCTGCGTGTTGCTGCTGCTGCTGCTGCGTGTTGCTGCTGCTGCTGCGTGTTGCTGCTGCTGCTGCTGCGGAGCAGCAGAGTGTGGTGTGTGGCGGTGTGTGTGTGCTGCTGCAGCGGAAGCAGCGCAGCGGTTCACGCAGGGCGCAGTGGGCTTCGGGGGCGGCGAAGGCGCAGCAGCAGCAGCAGCAGCAGCAGCAAAGGAGGAGGGGGCCCTGGGGTCCCCTGCGGAGAACTTTGAGGGCGTCAACAAAAGAGATTTGGACTTAATAGTTTCGCAGTTGGGCTGCAGCAGAGAAAGGGCCATTGATGCTCTTAAGAAGCACAACAATGATCTCGTCGAGGCCATTCTGGACATCACTGCTTGACTTCTTTGCTGCTGAACCCTTTCCAGCAAGCAGCAGCAGCAACAGCAGCAGCAACAGCAGCAGCAGCAGCAGCGGCAGCAGCAGCAGCAGCAGCAGCAGTGGCAGTGGCAGTGGCAGTGGCAGCAGCGGCAGACGGGCGCCAGGAGGCGGCGGCAGCAGCGCAGCAGCTGGCGCTGCTGTTGCTGCTGCTGCTGCTGCTGCTGCAGCAGCAGCAGCAGCTAGGGGGGCCGGGCTTTAACTGCATTTGCAAAGAAAGGAAACTCTTGTGGCAGTTAACGCAGAGTCCCGTTTGCATGCAGCTGGGCAGCGGCTTTCTTGCGGAAATAAATTCAAATAAATAAATAAATAAATAAATAAATAAATCCGAAATAACAAATAAATGCAAACTCCCGTTTTGCTGCTGCTGCTGCAGAGGGCGAAAGGACTTTTGGTGGATTAAAATGAAATTCAAAAACTGATCTTTTCGTTGGCTCCGGGGTGTACGTACAGCTGAACGGCGTCGCTGCGGCCTAGTGCAAGTTCTCTCCCCACAGTCATTATTATTATTACTATTATTATTGTTATTTGTTATTATTATTATTATTACCAATTATTATTATCTATTATTATTATTATTATTATTATCATTATTAATTAGTTATTATTATTATTATTATTATTATTATTATCATTATTATTATTATTATTATTATTATTATTGATTAGTAGTAGACTAGAAGCTGCTTTTTGCTGCTGCGGCGGCGCAGGGCAAAGCGGGTGCTATGTTAGTTAATAGTAATTAAATTATTTTAAAATAGTTCAAATATATCTCTTTATTATATTATAGATATATGTTTTATATATAATTAGACATAATTGTATATTTATTTAATTGTGTGTTTGTGGTTTAAGTGAAGAAAAAAGATAGAGGCATTTGTGCCTCGAAGGCACTTAAAACAAATAAATATAATTGCAACTACTTGTAGTTGCAATTATATTTATTTGTTTTAAGTGGAGTGGTGCATGCGTTTCTAAAAGTCTTTATTTGTGACATTTAATTTAATTTAATTTGAGAAAAAGTCTCCTGAGATCAACACAGGGACTTGTGGGAAAGAGAAGAAAGAAAATTCGGATGAGAGAAATTGCTGAAGTGCTCACATCGTTGGAGATCCGGGGGACTCCAGCGCAAAAAGTTCATTCAATTAGTCTAATATTTATGTTTTAGAATAAAATAAATGTTTTATTTTCAATTTTTAAACATTTAATTTTCAATTTTCAACAAGAGATTCGAAAAGTTGAATTAAATCTCAAGTGGCTGCTGCCGCAAGATAAGCTCGGACAAGGGCTGGCTGGGCTAGGGGCCCTGGGGCTGCCAGTCAAGGCGAGAGTTGAAGGGAAAAAGTAATTCGAAATAGTTTTTAATTTAAAAATAAAGTGAAATGCGTGCAAATAGTATAAAGTCTTTCAGTTGAACGATTGCGTCGAGGTGGACGTACACCCGAAAGTTGCACAACGGCGAGCAAGAAGAAGACCCTGAAAGGAAGTTTGCATTTCTGTTTTGCCGTCGAAATTAAGAACTAGGTCTTTAAAACTTTGAATTATTTATTTATTTTCACTTTTATTTCTTTTTATTTCCCTCTTTCCCCTCTTTTCCGAGAAAAGCAGCAGACAGCAGCAGAGCTGCCGACCGAGAAGGCGGGATCTGAACAAGCGAAGAAAGCAGCAGCAAAAGGCGGAAAAAGGAAAACTTTTTTGCAATTTTGGAAACAATTCAACAAAAAGAAAACATTTTTTCAATTTTGAAATCAATTCAAAGAAATCTTTTCCAATTTTGAATCCAATTCAACTTTCAACAGCATGCCGAAGGGCGCCATTCACGTAAGACTTCTCTCCACCAGTTTCCAACTTGCATTTCTTCTCTTCTCCAAATTTTCTCTTTATTTGTCTTTTGCTGCTCCCAGTAATCTCCAAATGCAAAGTCACTTCTGCTGCTTCCTCTAACTGCTACATATATATATATATATATATATATATATATATATATATATATATATATATATATATATATATATATAATATATATATATATATATGTGTGTGTATGTGTATACACAACTCACTTAAATGAATGCGACTTTGTTGCATTTCCTCTCTTTTTGCATTTCCTGCTGCTGTTAGCGCCGGAGACCACATCCCCTTTTGCTGCTGCTTGAAAATTCCCTTATCCTCCACTAAAATGCACTGCAGCAGCAGCAGCAGCAGCAGCAGCAGCAGCAGCAGCAGCAAGCGAAAAGTTGCAATACAAAGGCCCCAAAGCCCCCTGCACTTCCCCTTTAAGCTCCCCTCCACCTGCCCCAAGCCCCCTCCCCCC